TTAGGCGATCGTTTGGTGATGTATTTACTACTCGGGCTATGAGTTGTTGATTTATATATATATATATACCTCGCCGGGTGTTGCGTTAGCTGGCTGAGTGCCGCTATGGCCGTGGGCGAAGGAGTCGTCCCCAGTCAGTGATGTATTTAACCAAGTAAGGTTATATCTAAATCTAATATACTTCTGGAAGCGAAGACTAGCTCGAGGGTCTGGGTAGCGTAACTGGTAAGCGCGCCGCACGGCAAGCGGAGGCTGCGGGTTCGAGTCCCGCCCCGGGCCAGTTCTTTTATTCCAGAAGATTCTAAATTTATTTATTGATTTATTTATTTAATTTTAATTATTAATTTAATTAAGAGATGGCACCTAACGTCTACCTCTAGTGTCAAATTACTTTATTCCAATCATTTAATTAGCCATATTATAGCCCGATATTTAGGCGATCGTTTGGTGATGATATTTACTACTCGGGCTATGAGTTGTTGATATTTATATGTAGGATTATCAGTTATCAAAATGTATGTGCCGCCCCATGGGAAAACAAGCAATTATGTCTGTTGTCCTAACTCGTACAGATGTGTCATCTGTACGAGTCACATGTGCCTTGTAAAGCCGTTAATTGCTAACATAGGTTTTTGGTGCAGATTGAAATACTATTGAACACAGTCTTGTGTTCAATAGTAAAAAAAATGGTTAAATCTGCTGTGAAGAAGATACCTTTGTAATATCAAAGATTAAAAGATTTGATGTTCTCAAGAATAGTGAAATTAAAGCATTAATCATAAAAAGTGAATCTGTGAAATGCAATTTGTCAGTTGAGAAAATATTCAAAGTTATGGAAAGCATTCATGTAGATGTAAAACATGGAGGTTGAGACACACTGAAAACGGAAATGTCAAAGAAATATGCCAATGTCATAAATAAAATATTTTTCTATTGATGTACAAAATGTGCCAACAAAAGAAAAATAAGAAAAAAGCTTAGTTTCCAATTTTTGATTTTATCTGAAATTAGAATTAAATACTTAAAAATATTCATATATTAAAATTAAAACTTTTAACTGTCAATTTTACTCATATGAATTGTTCTAAAGAATTCATATTTATAAAGCCAGGTCTACAGTAGATACAATCCTAGCTAAGAAAGATATAATCAAAAAGACTCAAGCAGATAAAGGAATAACGACGAAAATCGTATTTGAGAAACAAAGATGTACAGTACCATCCATGAAAAAAATGGAGATTGCTTTTAGTTTGTTATTACATGTAAATAAACATAGTAACAAAGTATATAATTTATTTATTTATTTTTAGGGGTCTCCAGAACAAATTTATCAAATTCCCACAAAAATCTATGGTAAATTGATAATTGGTTAACAAACAATTCGGATAGCAAACATGGGCTTGGAACAAATTATGTTCGTTAATTGATTACCTACTGTGTTTGCCTATTTTAAACAAATTTACAACTATTAATTTGCTTGTATTATTTTAAATTGCAATGTTTTCTATTGTCTTACTATTATTTTTTATTACAACTTTTTGACATACATAACATAATAGAGTATATAAATTTGATATTACAAAAAATGTACAAATTACAAAAATACATGGAGAGAATTGTAAAGCAATGCAACATATTATAAATTATAATTTATAATATATCAGGATTGACTGTCAGAGGCGGTCTGTGATAGAACCCCAAATATATTTATATATAATCAGTCTAAAACCCATATTATTTATAGTAATCTATTTAATTTATACATAAATATTTAAAAATACAAATGATCTAATAAATGTAAAAATGTATCAATATAAAATATGAAATTTTAATCCAGCTTAATTTTTTCTCAATTAATATAATGTTAGGAATCATCTGATAAAAGTTCTAAACATATCAAGACACTGATTTTATGCCGAAATAAGGTATTGTGTAGTCTTGATATAATAATACAAATGACTGCATTTTAATTAATTTTATATTAACTTGTTAATATATATCTTGTAAAAAACATAAACGTAAAAGTGGTAAAAGTAGCATTTTATTTTGTAAAATACAGAATTAACAAAGAGAATAAATTTATCATTTAGTAAGCTTGCAATTACTTTTAAACATTTTTGTAACAATAATTTCAGTTGTTTTTAGAAATAAACTTCAAATATATATACTGTATATCATTATATGCTATATTTGTATTAAAAAACTGTATTTATTTATATTAAACTAATCTAGATACACATATGAATGTGACTGCTGAAGAAACTTGGCATTTCTAGTATTTTAAATTTTAATAAACAAGCTAACAATTTCACTTGAAACAATTTTCCACGAAGCTTTAAACAAAATTTGATTTTGTATGCCTTAAAGATCTGAGAAAATGTAAGCTTGTTTCAAGTGAAATGCTTATTAATTAAAAATTTATAAAATTTGTAGAAATGGCACTTTCTTCAAAATAAGCTATTTATTTCAAATAATGATAATTCAAAAGATAAAATACATTAAAATTAGTTGATCAGAAAATTGTATATTTAATAATATTGAAAGTTCTGCTTTTATCCATAATTTTATTCTTAAAAATCAAAATACTTCAAGAATAAATTTTCAGCAGTTATCCATAATTAGCACTTACAAAATTGTAAAATATCAGTTCAATTTCATTTAGAAAATTAAGTGATAGTTTAAACAAACAACACTACAAAAACCCAATACACTATATTACTAAAGCCAACCACTGCTGTATAGCCCTATGGTATATGACAGTGGTTGGTTTAGTCAATGATAGTTTATATTTTCAAAAACTGCAGATTTACTTACGTTTCACAAATGTAATTCACACTAATGATCTATTTTCTGCATATTTTGTTATGAGATATTAATAAAACCAAAATTTTAACTTTAAGTAAAAGAATTAATTTTTACTGATGATTAAAATCTATAGCTATTAATAATAATTTGAAAACTTTTATATGTGCAGTAAAATATAAATTTTGAATAACAATTTTGGGTAATTTTAAACATTTAACATAATAATGCTAAAGGATATTCTTACTTATATTCAGATATCTCATTTATACTTACAAATTAGATTTTATAACTCTTTATTAACAATAATAAAAATGCTATATTTTAAAAATTAAAGGAAATTTATTCTGTTTAACATTTAAAACAGCTATTCTGATCCATTCTTCCAAAACTTAGATCAAAAATAAAATTTTAAAAGAACAGAACCATTGATTGACATCAGTCTTCCAAAGCTAGATAAGATCTGATCTTAAAAATGTTGAAGAAAAAAGTTCTACTTGTGTTCAATTCTAGAATAGACATACTAAGTATTTTTAAAACACGTCTTTTAAGATTTTTAACACAATTATTATGTCACACTTATGAGTGACATAATAATTGTGTATCACTCAGCAATGTTTAGTAGTTCACATCAAAAACAAAAAAAAACAGCTCATTTTAATAAGAGAATATAAACATTTAACTTTCAGCAACACAGATAAAAAAAATCAACAAAATGTAGATTATATTGTAATATAAAATAAAAAAGTACTATTTCTAAGATTACTAAAAGGTTATATTTAACAATTAAAATGTTTTCAGCCTAAAGTTAAATCGTTGTCTTCAATTAAATTTTATAAATAAAACAGAAATTTAAAATGAGTGGTAGAATCATATATTTTCAATTCTATAAGTCATTAAAATGTTTTATTCCATTTACAGTTTTTTATTTGCTGAAGATGGCCTAAATTTAGATGTGACTATATGACAAATAGAGTTTTTTCATAACCTTAAAAATAGATAATTTTTTGAACAACATAGAACAAAAACATTTATCTTTACTTAATAATCATATGAAAAAATTTCAACTTTATGTACTTTTGATAATATATTAATTCTAAAATCAAAAAGGTGATCAAAACATCTGAAAGTTACTTTCCAAAACATTTTTCAAACAAATGTACTTCATTATTATTACAAATAGTTTGTGACACAATAAACAAGACCAGATAAGCAAAAGTTCTAAAACATGGATCAACTCTATAGCATTTTACGACTCAAAATTTTTTAAAAAATAATGTAACATAGTGTACCAGTTTTCAATTGCATGTGGCATTACTAATGTGGATAACAATTTTTAAGTTTACAGATTTCAGAATCAACCATTCATCCATTCATGCATATTAGATGAGAAGAAATAAGAAAGTTAGAAATGAAAATATACATGTGTGTGTATATAATATGTATACATATTATATACACACACACAAACATAATTTTAATTAAAATAAATTTATTTTCATATTTTTTACATATAATTGCAATTAAGAAAACTGCAAAATATTACAAATGTAGAAATTTTTTGAAAATAAAAAAATATGTAGAATCTCAAGTGAATCCAAGCCTGTGAATTGTTTTTGTGTATTTAATAGCTAACCATTAGTTATATATATTTATTAAATGCTACAGTTCTAAGGATTTATTAAAACATAATGTTATCACATTACATTTTAGTAAATCCTTAGAACCACGGCCTTTTAAATTTAAGGACGTTTTAAGTCTAAATCCAATCTACAATTTTTTTGAATTTTGTCACACATATCAGGTATCTTTTCGAGCAGAGTTATACTTACCATTATCAAGGTATAATAGGTTTTTGTACTTAAAGCAATTTTCAAATTGATAAAAAAAATTTTGTTTCATAATCAATAATAATTTTCCTCTTTAGAGCTTCCAAAACCAAATAAATAGATACAAGTTTATAACATGTGTTAATTATTCATTTATACAATAATCTGTGTAATTGTCATGTGGTTGTACATTATGAAAATGTTTATCTGTCATTTTATAATTATCAATTGAATATTGTTTATAACTGGATTATGCAGTAATTATGTCATGAATCAATGTTATATTTATGTTCTTGTCAGTTTTTATGACTGAAAAATCAAAGTTTCTAAAAGTATTAATCATGTTAAATATATGAAAAACGACGGTTAAACAAAAGCATCTGCTCACCTTGGCCGGCCAGGGTGAAAATCCCTTCATTTTCGCCCTAAAACACGAAAATGATTTTAAATTATTTATTTTCTAATAATAATTATTATTATAAAGTTACATTTAATTATTAATTTAATCTTTTATAAAGACTTACCAGACGAGATCTCCGATGTTATATTTCGACGCCATGTTTGAAAAAGCGATGTCCGTCGCGCTTGGCATGACGGGAATTGACTTTCCCGCTCACCGTAAATCGCTTACTTGATACCAGATGGAAACACCTAACAGAACGATTTCGGAAAAAATAATTCGTGATTAAAATTTATTATTTAGATGGATAGATATTTTAAATATTTATATACATTAATATTTTTAAAATCTTAGAAAATAATAATATATAAGTTAACTTTTCGTAATTTTAACCTTTTGTAATTAGTTATTTACATTTTAAATGAATAGGTTAAATTAAATGTTTATTGCAAATTCCTTTTTAACTCAAAGTTTTCATTACCAAGGAATTAAGGTATAAGTCTACTGCAATGAAAAATTCGGGTCTGAATCTGGTTTGAGAACCTTAAAAAATTTTCATAAACGTTCTTTGCAGATGACCGGATGGCCGAGCGATCAGCCATCCGGAAACTGGGGAACCTGGTTTCGAATCCAGACGGGTAGAAAAATCCCCGGAAGTTTTGTCGGGGGTGGTCCGTCTGGATATGTCGTGACCCATCACTCTTCACCCGACTGCCGTATCGTGGTCTTAGCCGATCTCCCATAATGGGCTTGCTAATGGCGGCCCTTTTAGTGCCCACAGGGCGGAGAGTGTTTTCAAAAAGAAAGAAAAAGACCTTTCCGGAACACGTTGGCGTCACAACTCGAACGAAACCATGATTAACATGGAAAAAGTTCTTTTTAGTTGCCACATTGACCTGTGGCAACTAAAAAGAACTTTTTCCATGTTAATCATGGTTTCGTTCGAGTTGTGACGCCAACGTGTTCCGGAAAGGTCTTTTTCTTTCTTTTTGAAAACACGAAAACGATTTTAAATTTTATATTAGAGAGTTCGAAACTGAAAAGCAAATATCAAAGTGCATAGAATAAATATGATACTACTTACTACATGTTTCAATATCTCTTCATAAGCTTTTTATGAAGACTTGTCCGAAAAGCTATTCAAAATAACATTTTGATAGCGGAAATCATAAAGAACTCATTTTGAGTTAAATATATATACAGTATTTAGGCAGTGCTCGGTTTTCAGATGTAATGCGTTTCTAAAACATCCTGCATCGAGTTGCGTAACATTCTCAGCTGTTATGAGATCTTAATGTAGAATGCTTTTTAAAAAAAAATCCAGTTGCGTGCCGTGACATTTGATGTAGGGAAACTGTGTTTCTGTAAGAAGCCGACATCCAGGGGCAATCAGTCAATTGCGCGTCAGTGATGGTCTATGGTCTATTCGTATCGTTTATTCGATAAGCCAGTAAAAACCGTAGACTTCTCTAAATGCATTTTTAATATCACAATTACATTCCGAATCGCTAGCCACGATATAAGGGCTACAATTAAAAATAAAATAATAAAAACTTACTCGGTGAAATAAAATATGTGGTGGATGTACCGGTACATACAAAATATTCTTCAATTATATGAATATACTTTTAAAGAAAATTATAATTAAATATAGCTTTGCAAAGAAACGTACATAAAAATATAAAATATTCTTTACTTTTTAAATCTTAAAACAATGCACTTAGTCAAATAGCTCCCTACGAGTGGCTAATGGATGGAATCGAAGACGGTTGCAGAGCGTGCATACACGCGGACTGCCAAATCCCCAGGGTGCCGATACCGGTCAATGTCAAATACCTCTTTTGTCGCATCACTAGTATATCTCAAAGGACGCGACAGGGCTGTTGTAGATTTTAAACGTTTCTCACCATAGCTGTAAAAATCTAAATATGTTAAACTTAATAGTCATTTGTTTTCTAACTAATTCGTTTTAGGACCAAGTGTCCTAAGAAATTTCCAAAATTTACAACTTTTCGGTCACTCTCGTTGAACTGGAAAAATTTCTGTCTTTATTACACTAATAATACGAAGAAATCAGTCCACTGTACTCGGCCAGAGGTGGTTCGGTTAAGCTTTTGTTTAAGTAAAATTTCGGCTCTTTCATCAGGGTTTTGTTTATGTCCCCAATCCCCTAATCGCTTAATTATTTAACTACTTCTTAAGTAGAAATAGGTCGAAATCGGTTACTTTGTACTCGAATATTTGTAGTCCCGGGATACTTTCATCTTCTCTCACTAAGAATACGTATTTTTATCCTAAAACATTAACTTTTAACCAACAAAAAACAGTGGAAATAGCAACTAAGCAAAAAATGACTGAATTCTAAGCTCTGTTGGAGGAATGTCAGCTTATTCGTCCCATCTTTGATATAATTCGTTTTTTCTGTATTTACACTCAATTTACGTAAAAATTATTGTATTGTCCTATTTATATTTAATAGCTTATCTTTGTTTCTGTGTACTAAATTCAATTTTACAGTAAAATACTCGGAAACTCTAAATAATTAAAGCCAAATTAAATAGCTTAATTTTTACAATATCAACTTAAATTGGATAAAAGCATTATTAAATAATTATGATTTATTTGTGCATATCGACTTCTTTCGAAGAAATAATCATGTATTGTACAGCTGAAAATTATTCTCTTGTCTTTGATGAAATTTGTTACAATTTACTATTTTCTACAGAAACATTAAATTTTAAACATATTTTTTCATATTTCTTGGTATTAGCTTTTGGTCACGTGATCGTTCTATATTTATCAACTTGGCCCGAGATTTTCAGCAGTGATCTTTTTCGTATCTAATTTGCATATTTCTGATAGTACATTACTAATCTTTATTTTAAAAAATATAGACATTTTATATTATTTAAATTTGACTGGATTAATAAAATAATTATATAAATTTTTTNAACATTAATTTAAAAACTTTTATCACATTAAACTATATATAGAGAGAGACTAGCTAAACCATTATTTGTAAAATTTTGATGTTTAATAAAATAATTATATAAATTTTTAGTGTTTAGCAGGAAAGTTTCGATGCCACGTGACGTTACAGTCATCCCATGGTTCGCGGGAGATTTTGTGCAGTGATCTTTTTTATATGTAATTTGCATAATTATAATGGTAAATTATTAATCTTTATTAAACAGATTTAGTTATTGTGTATTAATTAAATTGATCAAGTTTCATGGAAGAATTTTTCAAAACTTTTAGCGTTTATTCAGAAAAATTTAACCTTTGGTCACGTGAGGAGTATTTTCAGTCTATCCCATATGCATCAGTTAGCGCCTGATTTCGTAGAGTTCGGTTTAGTGTTTCTCGTTTTTTTTCCAAGTTCACTGCGATAAATTTTTATTTCGTGGGTGGATACATTTTGCGCTGTTTTTAATGGATATAAGGTGGAAATTTTACTGTGAATTTAGAACTTGTTTCAGAATATGCTACAGAAAGAAAAGTTGAAAAATAATTTATTTTTCGACAATTAGGGTGAACTGATCTTTGGATATAATACTTGGATATAAGTGAGAGTATGTATTATTGGACTAATTTATTTGTGCATATAATTATCTAGTCCTAATTTCGAAACATGTTTTTTATTGTTTATAAGCCTGTTAGTTAGAATCTCTACTGATTTAGTGTTATTACGTAAAACAACGTGAAAGAAGAGTACAAATTTCACATCAAAGATGATGAGGGAGGTTTGCGAGCTATTGCGGATAGAGAGACTGCTCACCACCACTAATCACCCACAAAGCAATGGGATGGTCAAGCGCCTAAATAAAACCTTGGTGGATATTTTGACACACTACACCGATTTAGACCAACGCAATTGGAATGAGATGGTCCCCTTTGCATTCTTCGCATATAACATCACGGTGCATTCCAGCACAAATGAGACTCCATACCACTTGGTGTATGGGAGAGATTCTGTTTATCCATTCGATGTGGTCACCGAAACTAGCTGACCTAGTTACGATGTGAGAACTATGCAAATGAACTAAGGTCAAGGCTGACTTTAGCTCATAGATTGGCTCAGGAACACGCAGAGAAAGCAGCTCAGGACAGGAAAGTGTACCATCAGAGCAAAAATAGACCCCATAAATTTATAATAGGCGATCGAGTTTTTGTTACGGAGGTAGTAGTCCCTACAGGATTGAAAAAGAAGTTAGCACCTAGATGACGGGGACCATCTAGGATCATAGCGGAGACCAGTCCAGTCGACTTCGTCGTCCAACATATCCATACGGAAAAGAAGTTACACACTCACGCAAGTCGACTGAAACCTGCTATCGCGCGAATGGAATTTGAATCCTCCGCCGCTGACAAGCTTAGTCCGGAGACAGAGAAATCCAAGACCTCAGCCTCAGAACAACAAACATCCGCAATAGTATACCTCTGGGATGAACTCTTTCTAAACTCGATACAACCAGATCAGGCAGATCTAGCGGAAACGGTAGAGGTTAGTCAGCCAACAACCATGGTACAACCGTCACACAGATACGCTTTGATGAGTCGGGAACCCGCGGATGAATATTCTTGGTTACTACCCAAAATGCTTAGGTACGGGCAAACGGTGAACCACAGAAACGCAGAAGAGCGTCAACGTCTCTAAATAATGATAGAGAGCGTTTGCCACCGCCTACACCCATCAGTCTATTTAAACAATGTAAATGGTGATCTTTCTTTAACCTTTAGAAGCTCATATTTTAGAATTATAGATTCCCCTATCACGATACTATCGATAGTGCAGGCGCCGCCATCTTACTTTCACTCGTTCCTAAATGCCTACAAACAGTAGCGCACTCCCATAGTAGCGGAGATGCAGAGCGACCGCTATTAATTAACGAACGCACCCTTAGGCGCGAATTATCTGAAGCGCTGTGATTGGTAGATTTTTAGCACGGGAATTTCTCATTTCGTGAATGGCTGGTAAGCGCGAGCATGTCTATAAAAGGCATCACACGTAAAATTTCGCTTATTTCTATTGCTTTTGCTTTGTTGTTGCTGTACTGAAACTTTAATTTAACGAGAATGGCTACCGTGTGCTCAGGATGTGAATATAATTATTTCGACTCAATAACGTTCTCGGAAGACCGGATCAAAGAAGAGTTGCTACGCCACGGCATTTGGCGAAATGAAGCCAACTGCGGTCGGTGTGGCAACCTTCTACTAGCGAGGAAAGATAATTATTCCGATGCGGAAAGGTAATCCGGAGA